AAAAAAAAAAAAAAAAAAAAAAAAAAAAAAAAAAAAATGAAAAGCGCAGAGAAATGTTACAAATATTATTAACAACAATTATATAATTATAAATTTTAAGGAAACAATCACAAATATTATTTCTGAAAATTACAAATTATCAATTTTGAACAATTATAAATATTACTTCTGCCGTGAAATTTCCGATTATTTGCACTAACCTCGATACAGTAAATAGATTTGTGAAAATACATCAAGTTCTTTGTGGATCGCAGTCAACTGCGTAAATTGAAATCGTGAATACGACGGTCCTACTATAATTACATCTTAACGTCCTAAATTTATAAATAGACGTTTATGTGTTTCTTCTTCAACGACTGAAGGGTGCAAAAGTCCACGGAGTGCGTACAATAATCAAAAATATATAAAATATCGAGTACTTTTTATACTTAGACTATCTCTATCGTTTTATAAAAATACAAAAATTCGCTTCTCGTTCGACTTCTGTCAAAGTCAACTATACAACGTTGGTAAATTATTGAGATGTTCCTTCCAAAAGAACCCGATTCACGTCCAAAACATCAAGCTCTTCAAAGGGAAGAAGAAAGGTGTTTCGCTAATTTCCTTGTTCCCTGTAATTACTCGCACAAAGCAAAAAATATATTATCTTCTCAAGCAGAACGCACTTGGCAATGACTGAGAATTCATTCGATGATGTTTATCGTTAAGGACCCCTTAAATCTCAAATCTCGATTTGCATCTGGTATTTAAGTTGACGACGGCAAATTTGAAGGGTGCGTTGTGTTTTCTTTGCTATGGTAACGTTCTTACATAACTTAAAATTCTTTTGTTTTCTGTCTACATACAAGTGTGATTAATGCCTTAGTTGGCTGCAAACAGCTGAAGCATTAGCATTATAAGAAACAAAGTTATTGTACATTTAAGCATTTTTTGTCAAATATAGACCTGACGGAAAGTAAGTTTGACGTAATTGATCTTTCATTTTATGAATGATTATTTTTTAATTTCATTAGTAGGTTAATGATTCGCAGGTTATTTTCACACATTTTTTTTCTTGACAATAAGTACCTTTTATTTATAGTATGCCGAAAACTAGAAAGCTACAAGTATCCGACAGGTTACACATTTACAAAAGAAGAATGGAAGGAAAAAGTTTGCAACAAATTGCATATGAGTTTAGAATATCGAAAGAAGGTGTTAGAAAAATATGACAAAAATTACAAAAGACAGGTAAACCTGAAAATTCGGTGAGATCGAGTAGAAAAAGGAAAACAATTGCTCGCGAAGATCGGCTAATCGCTAAAGTAAAAAAAAATCCGTTCATTACAGCACAACAAATTAAAAAAAAAAAATGTTATCTACCAATATCGATCACGCAAATCAAATCTCGCATTAATGAAAGCAATATTTATGGACGGATATCTAAAAATAGACCATACATTTCAAAAGTAAATGCACTGAAACTTCTAAATTTTGCTAAAGAACATTACAATAAGTCGATTTCATTTTGGAAATCAATAATTCGAAGTGATGAATCGAAATTTGAATTGAATTCAAACAAAAGGAAAAAATATGTATGGAGGAAAAAGGGCGAACGCTTTCAAACAGATAACTAATAACACCCACTGTCAAACACGGTGGTGGGAATATAATGATATGGGGTTGTTTCAATGAACACCCAAGTAGGAAATTTATCTATTATTGATGGAAGACTGACTGCTGCCAAATATATTGAGTTATTAAATAAAAATTTATTTCAATCAATTGAAAAATTTGGAGTCGACAGGGCCTATTTGTTTCAACATGATAACGACCTGAAACACACAGCAAGAATAATTAACAAATTTTTCGAAGAAAACAGTACTTCTATTCTCCCTTGGCCACTTCAGAGCCCGGATTTAAATCCTATAGAGCATCTATATGGGATGAACTTGAGCGACAAATTCCAAAAAAATCAGTCAACTTAATTACCGTTACGATGAAGTACAAAAATTTATTATTTTTACTTTGTTTCATTTACTGTTTACGTTCATTTATTATGTATCGCCTCTGTTATAGTTGCGACAATGAAGCAAATGACTTTGTTCCTGATTCAAATATCGTTTACAAATTTTTTAGCTTAAATTTCCCGAAAAGATCAAGCGTATATCAACTTAAATACCGATACGCCGACTCTATATGTATCTTTACCTCGATGTTTCGAACTCCGACCGGCGTTCGTCTCGGAATTTTTGCAAGCGTCCGCGAGCCTAAGCATCCCCGACATCTCGAACCATTCGTACTGCGTGTGCTCGCGCCTCGACGCAGTCCGGTGCAACATTCGAAGCTCGAAGCTCCGTCTCTGCTCCCTGAACTGTTTTCTGTCGTTCCTCGGCGACGTCGAGTCTTCCGACGAGCTCGAATTATCGTTCACGCCGTCGGTGATCTGCGGCGTGGACGAAGGCAGCACGTCGTCCGGGGTGAGGTTTTTCGTTAATTCTTCGTGATCCTTGGAATAGACGAAGTTGAAGAGCGAATGCCCCAAGAAATCCGCCTGCAACGTCATTATAATAACAATTTTTTTTTTTATTGCAGCAAAAAATGTCTTCCTTTTTTTCGCAACAAAGCGATTTGATCTCTTTTTTTTTTCTTTTTTTTTTTTTTTCTCAGGGATTGGATATAAGGAATATCTTGAAAATAATTGGGAAGATTTGGCAGCGGTGTAATTTTGCAGAATTACATCTATTTGTAGAATTGTGTCATACTTGTGGAATTGTTTGTTACTCTTTATTTTTTCATTCTGTAATTTATAGAATAACGTATAGAGTTGTTTGCTCGAATCGTCCAATTTTATAGATTTCTGTTCGCTTGATTTTATTTCCCCGATTCGAAAGCGTTTGGAATCAAGTAAACAAAACCGAGCAGTGAGAATGCCACGCAAGAGTTGATCACTTTATTTATCTCGTTAATTGATAGCTTCGTTTAAAAGCTGAACACATATGAAATTCAAGTTCTTTCGCGTCGTATATCTCGCGAATGTTGCGTAGCTTCATCCTTTCGTTTAAAAATTTTTGAAACTCCACGAGTTACCCACGATACTTTACTTAACTTTAACAGACATTCTAGGTACCTCACAATAACTTATTTAATTTTAACTATACAGGTTACTCGCAACTACTTTACTCAAGTTCCAGCCGTTCCACCTCCGTATTGTAAAATACGCGTCAAAGTTAAGCAATTTACATCCAAATTAGTCCAAAATTAAATCGTATAATCGAAGCTCCAACAATCGACCTGAACTCTTTTTCTCATTTTCGAATCTCAATTCCGTCAATTTTCCACGAAATGTTCGTCAGCTTTCAGCTTCCACGAAGAATCCACGCGCTGCGGCCCCGGTCTCCACCACTTCTGCATCTCGGCTCCGGAGAGTTGCGATTTAATCGTGGCCAATGCGGTGCACCACGTCGGCGACGGGGCTCGTTTTCGCCGCGGGGAGTTTCTCCTTGAGAACAATACCGACTGATTGTGAGTATCTCCTTAAAAAAA